CCCCCCGTCCCTTGCCCTCCCTCCTCGTGGATATTTTCCGCATCCCGTCCATCCATGTTTGATCCTTACGTTACAGATACCAGGACGCATCAACATATGTGGCATTGTTTTGTGAGTGTCAACATTTCCAGAGTGGTACATACTGTGAATAACTGCATTGTTCTTTTGGGAAAACCCTCAGTATTCTGTTTTAAGGCTTATCAGTGTTGAGGTCCACACATCCGGGTCAGCATTCCAACAGGCGCTTCCACAGCAATTTTTTTCTTTCATGTGGGCATTTTCCACTTTTCTTTGTCATACAAACTGGTGCAGTAAATATCTCCTTACCCACACGTGCTAGTTTCCCCACAGAAAACAGAGGGACATGGGACTGTTTCGTCATTCAGGTGTGCCCCTGTTCAGCGTGTCAGGTGTTACCTCATCACTCTTCTGAGGCTGGTACTGATCTGAGCTCCCATCAGCAGTGGACAAGCGTTTCTGTTTTTGCAGAAACACCCTTGACAACAACTGTGAGACTTAAATTTTTGCCGGTCTAACGACTGTAAAATGATTCCTAGTAAGGGCGAGCACCTTTCATCACCTGTTCATGTCTTTGCCTATTTTTCTGTTGCATTTTTATTCTTTTTTTAATGGAGTTATAGGGATCCTTTCTGTACTGTGAATACTAATTTGTTGCATGTATCTTATATTCCATGACATTAAAAAAAAACTTCTTTTTATCTAGAAGTTAGAAATTTTTGATATAGTCAAGTTTTTCAGTCTTTTATAAATGGTTTCTGTTTTGAAACATGCATTTCTACTTCAGTCATAAGACTTTCTGTATTCTTTGAAAACTTTAAGTTTATTTTTTTAACATGGTGTGAGAGAATTCATTTTGTTTGTTTTCCGAGTGGGAGGCCACTTGTCCCAGCAGCACTTGCTGAAGCGTGCCTCCTGGTTGGACATGTCTCTCCATCACACTGCCCTACCACACATGCCTGTGAATACTCTGGTGTGTTTATTTTCTTTCCTTCATGCATTTGCTTATCTCTGTCCCAAACCTGTGCTACCTTCAACACTATTACTTTAGCGTGTGTCTTGATGGAGGGTGGGTCTGCTTCCTCCTCCTCTTCCTTTCTCAGAATAGCCTTAGCTGTCCTTAGGCCCTGGCTTACTCTTTATTGTACGTTTTGGAGTCCGTTTAAAGTCTGAAAAATTGTAGTGGGGTTTTGATTAGAGACGCATTACATTTGCAGATTATTTGGGGAAGGTTTGACCTCCTTATGAATTGAATTTCCTATTCATGAATATGGTGTATGTTGTACTGTTCATTCATGCCTCTCGTGTCTTCTGGTAATGTTTGTGAAACTGCAAAAAGCTCAGACACACCTGTTGCTAGATTTATTCTTAGGTACCTTTATGTGTTTGTTGCTGTTGTGAATTTTTTTAGAATTAAGTTTTCTAATTAGCCAGTGCCAACATACAGGAGGAACGCTGCTGAGTTCTTCAAGTTGGTTTTGAATCCAGCATCCTTGCTGACCCATCTGGTTTGTTCTAATAGCCTGCAGATTCTTTTAGTTTTCTGTGCAGATGTTGGATTAACTGCAAATAATAGTTATTTTGTCTCTTCCAGTCCCAATACTTCATCTAGATTTTTTTCTTGGTCTTGTGGCATTGGCTTGAACTTCTGCCACAGTGACTAGAACTGGAGATAGCAGGTGCTTTTGTCTTTCTGACCTTAAAGGGTGGGGTAGTGTTTCATTAGTGATCATTGTAGGATTTTGTGGAGATGCCTTTTCAGGTTAGTACAGCACCCTTCTATTCCTCGTTTACTCAGAGTTTTTTAAATTATTAAATCATGAATGGGTAATGACATTTAAGACTTTTTGTGTATCTTTTGAGATGATCATATGGTTTTTAGCATTTAAACCCCTAATATAATAAATTCCACTTACGTGTTCAAATATTAATGTCATTTATTTCATTCTTGAGATAAACCCTTCTTGGTTATGAAATATCAAGAAGTACATGCTGAACTTTATTTGCAAATATTTACTTGGGAATCTGGGTATTTATTTGTAAATATTTATTTTTGGCATCAATGTTCAAAAGCGAGATTGATCTATAATTTTTCTTATACTGGTTTTGTCTCGTTTGTATATCAAAAGTATACTGGCTTTATAAAATGAGTTTGTTAGCTTTCTTTTTCTATTCTCTGGAACAGTTTACATGTTAGGAATGATTCCTTGAAGGTTTAGTAAAATATATGGCATTCTTTTGGGAAATACACTGGCTATTCTTATTTTAAAAATTAGTATCGTCTGTCAACTGCTATAGCAAGTGGTCTTAAGACACAGGATTTGCATCTAAATCTTCAGATGTTCTCTTCCTTAGATATACTCTCCCTGATAATTTTCCATAGATTTGCCCTCAGATGACTTTCTAGTGTTTGGAAAACAGCCTGTTCCTTTGGCTACACACATTCTGTACCCATACATTTTTTAAAAATCTGTAAAATAGTTAAAAATCTGTAAAACAGCTAACTGAAGTGTTTTATTTTTTAATTTGTTTAAATCATTTGCAAACTACGTTTTGTTTTTAAACTATTTTATTTTGAAATAATTACAGATTCACAGGAAGTTGTTACATCTTACATAATTATGCTGTACAATGTGAAAACTAGGGAACTGACATCGGTGCAACATGTGTGTGTGCAGTTCTGTTTCATTTCATCCCATGTGAAGATTCCTTTAACCACCTCTGCAATCAAGATACAGAATTATTTCATCACCACAAAGATCTCTCCCGAGCTATTTTTTTATACTTATTCCTCTCCCTTCCACCGTCCCAACCTTTGGCAACCACTAAACTGTTTCCGTCTCCATAATTTTGCAATTTTGATAATGTTACATAAGCAGAATCACACAGTATGTGCCCTTTTGAGATTGGCTTTTGCACTTAACAAGTTGTTGCCTGTATCAATACTATTGCTCCATGTTATTGCTGAGTAGTATTCCAATATGGATGTACCGCAGTTGGCTTAAATATTCATCCACTGAGGGACGTCTTGGTTATTTCCAGCCGTTAGCTATTACAAATGAAGCTGCTGTGAGCACTTGGGAAGAGGTGTTTGTGTGGACACGAGTTTTCGTTTCTCTGGGTAACTACTGTGTTGTGCGATGCTGGGTTGCGATTTCTTTGCATCCTCCCTGAGGCACTCGGCAGATACAGCAAATGTACACAGACAGGCGCCCCCCCCCCCCCCCCAGTGCTGGCAGAGGCCACATGCACTGCTTGGCTTTTCTTCTTAAATACTGCACCTTAACGACCCTTCTAGATCAATACATGAAGGACGCTTCATTCTTTTTCGTGGTTTTATGATACTCCATTGCATGGAGCTGCCACATACACTTGACCAGCTGGGATGTGTAAATGTCAGTTATATTATCTGTTCATTGTCCTCTCCATCTTTGTTTCCTCCGTACATTTGTTCCCTGTTTACACCTGAGTCAGGGCTCTGCTGTGTGTGTGGTGTGCTGGTGATGGCTGCTGGCGGGGCATAGATCTTTATTCTGTGAGGAGCCGCATAACCTGTGACTACTCATGGGCCTTCATTGACAGCTACTCTCTCAGACACATTTCTCCATCATGTGCATCAGGACTGTTTGGACCACACCTGCTTTCATAGGTATAAACAGAAGATTTGAATATATGCTCTCTACACCTTTATTCTGTTTCATGGGTTCAGTTGCTTCCTGGATAATAGTGAAAAGAAGTGTATTTTATTATTTTTGTCGTTGTCGTTTCTGAGGGCCTCTAAACATAGGTCTGCTATGACTTGGGGCCAGAGAGCTTTGATCTACTCTTTTAGGAGGGATAAGATTTGCTTTGTTGTTATTTAAATTTTTGAGTGTGGTAGTTTTGTTCTAAGTTCAGCATTTTTTTCTTTAAGGTGGTGATTTTTCTTTGGGTGAAAAACCTTGCCTTCCGATTCTTGGTAAACTTGAATGATGTCATGATTTGCAGAATCTTTTTGCCTTTGTATTTTTGCAATCTTTTATATTGACTTGACAGTTGAATTCTAAATTCATGCATATTAAGTTCGATCTTGCCCAGAGGACAGAATCTGTCACTTGCACGGGCACACTGTGTGAGGACTTTTGAGGTCTGCTGCCAGCCATTTTGCCAGGGGCACTTTGAAAGGCCTCAGTTGTGTGCTGACTGATCCCGTGTGGTGCTGTCCAGGTGCCATTGAATGGCATGGTCAGCTTTCAGAGATGGGTGTCATTCATTTCTACAGATTGCTTAGTAAGCTGTGGCTTGCCACACTCCCCAGGCCCCATCCTCAGCCTCACGGTTCCAGAGGACTCTGTGCTTCTGACGTGGACATTCTCGGCTCAGCCCCAGCATTCCACGGCGTGCTGCTGCTTCAGCCCTGCGGAAATTCTGTCCCTTACATCTGTGCCAGCTTTTGTAACTTGCATCGGAGTGAGAAAAGGGGGTGGGCAACGTCAGTTCTGTCTCCATCTTTTTTTTTTTTTTTTTGCTTCTCCCTGTTACTTCAAGATGCCTTTCTGAGAAACAGGATTCAAATTCACTCTTACAGCTTTGTTGCTTTTCTTAATTTGTAATAAATTGGGGCTTTCAGATAATGTACTTTTAAAAATAATTGTATATGTTTACTAATTTGTTTTGGAATAAATGTGATGAAGACGAGTTTATGGGAGCTCACACTACCAAGGGTTAGGAATTTAAATGGAAAATCGAATCTTCATGAAGCTTTCCACATTTCATTAAATGGTAAATTCTGGAGTGAAGTTTTATATCATTATTTACTACTAAGTATATCCCCAAATATCAAGGCTAAGCTCTTAATAAAGTAATATACCATAAAACTATTAATATTTTTACATAATACAGTTGTTTGATTGCTGTACTTTTCTTTTTGCAACAGATATTAGCCAGCAGCCTCCTAGGTTTTCCTTTTAATGGGAACTCAGATTTTTTTATTTGTAACAGGACTAAAAATATATTTTTAATTTATCTGATGCACAGTTTTATTAAATTGTCTTAAGAGTGGATAAGCATTATCTTTTCAGTTAATTCTCTTCAGTAGTTTTAATTTTGTCTCCTTCTGTATTGTATTTTAAAATTTGGAACCTGTTGATGTGTACCCCAAGAGCATTTTACTTGCCATCTTATGGGGTCTTTTTTTTTCCAGAGGAAACCGAGACATTTAGTAATGTAACTTCTGTCAGCATCAAAAGCAGATAGCCTAAGTTCCTTGTCTATACTGAAAATAGTACTGGAACATAATAATCCTGATGTCTGTATTATTTTCTATGCTCATTGGTAGTATCTTTGCTGTGAACACCCTCGACCCCAGATAAAACTCTAATGTTGATAATTTACTTGTATGTACTATACGTAGGAATTATATTTTGATCATTCAAATAAATGTGGATAGTGATGAAAATCTTTGTGCTGTTTTTTTTGTTTTTTTTTTTAAAGGTATTGCCATCAGAGAATCAGCAAAGGTAGTTGACCAAGCCCAAAGGAGAGTGTTGAGGGGCGTCGATGACCTGGACTTTTTCATAGGGGATGAAGCCATAGATAAACCCACCTACGCCACAAAGGTAAGCCCCGTCCAGGAGGCAGAAGAATGAACAATGCAGAATGGTAGCTTAACTGGAAGTTGACTTGTGAGTTGTGGAATGTGTTTTTAGTTTTAGGTTTGAACGGAGGTTTTGTGGTTGTTTTTGAATATGGTATATTTTGCTGTGGAGGAACCAGCAGATTTACCAAGCCCCGGAACACAGAACGGACCCGGAATACTGGGTTACACGCGGGGGCCAGATCTGCCCCCTGGGAAATGGCAGCTTGGCTAATTAACCTGTCAGATACGGCAAGTTGCAGATTGAGTAATTAAAAAGAAGCACTAACGTTATTTAACTAGACATTTGTTCTAAGAAAAGAAAAGCCTCCAATCGTCGGGTGGTATGGTAGACGGGCCACACTTTCCATTGTGCAGACGGCCTTCGCACTTTGGAGGCCGAATAGTTGGAGCAGAATATCAGCAACAGCACAACTTCATCTTCTGTTACAGCCCTGGTGTCTCTACATTCACTTCATGCAAAGGAGACCTCTGTTTTCTAACCCGGTCTCTGCCGGTGCTGTTACATGGTGGCTGCCGCCGGTGTGGACGGAGCCTGACGTACTTTGCTGTCTCTCTTGTTAGTGGCCAATAAGACATGGAATAGTTGAAGACTGGGACCTGATGGAAAGGTTCATGGAGCAAGTGATCTTTAAGTACCTTCGAGCCGAACCCGAGGACCATTATTTTTTAATGGTGAGTAACTGGGACCGAGAGGAGCACATCCCTGTGAATCCCAATTGCTCAGATTTTAAATTCAAGGTGCTATTCCCTGGGGAGTTTTTAATTTCTGCTAAAGCTGTTTGTATGACTTGGGTGCTCTTGGGGCCCAACCAAAATGTCTGAAACCAAACGGGGCTCATTTTCTCACTAAACAGGAGCCAGAGTTGGGTGGTTCCAGGGCTGGTTCTTATAGGGACTCAGCCACAGAAGTGGGGACCCAGTCAGTGTGCTAATTTGGCCCCTCCGGCCCCAGGAGAGCCTCTGTGTTACCTCCTGGCATGTTTGCTTTCAGAAGTACAAACACTTTCTAAGACTCCCAGAAACCTCCCAGCAGATTTGTTCTCACAGGGGCACTAGCAAGGGGATGGGGATGGGGATTAGGTTAGGTGATCACAACTGTCTCCCTGGGGCTGGGGTGGGGCGGGGCCATTTCGGACCACCTGGCGCCCCACAGGAAGGTACCCGAAGGAACAGGCCTCCAACAGCGAGGGAGCTCGAGGGAGGAATGGATTTGGGTAGGAAACCAGCTGTGTACTTCGATGACCCCAGGAAGCAACTAGACAACTGTGATTTTTGCTCATTACAGCAGAGGAAACTGAGTCAAGAGGATATTTTGCCAGGGTTTAAATCTTACTGTAAGATAAAATCAAGCTGAGTTAGGGGCCCTGATTATGGTATTTAATGTTAGTCAAACAAAACATTATAGAGAAACGGGAAGAATTATCTCTTGGTTATAGAATCTGTTCTAATTGTTCTATTCAATATTATGTGTTTTCTGCCATTAAATGTTCGTTTTAAGATAAAATTAGCTACATGGACAAAATGCCTGCTTTGTAGAGAGCAACTGCCTGTAACATAAGCTGCATATTAAAACCTACAAAACTTAGCTTTGGATTTTTTCCATACAAGTACATTGTGAATTGGTTCCAGCCCGATGCAATTACATAATTCTTTCTGACGTTGAATATAGCATGTTCTTTAGAATTATCTGGCTTAAAATATGTTAACTATGAGGCCACTAGGACAGTGGGATCTGTGTATTTACTGCCTGTTGAAGCCAGTCCTCAGTGCTGTGCTCTCCGTTCCCGGCTGCACCCTCGCAGGTAGGAGCTGCCAGGCATGGGGCTGTGCTCTGCAGGCTACTGTTTTCTCTCCTGTGCATCGACAGTGCTTTGTGCAAAATAAAAGGAGCCAGGAAACTGACAGGGTGTCTGCGTGGCTTTGTCACTGTAGCCGAAACAAATCCCAGATCCCCACCTGTCACATTTGGTGTTTCCCCTTCTCTAGCACACCCCATAACCACCTGTAGGACAGGACTTCAGGGCAGGCGCCACGCCCAGCGGCATCCTGTGTCCCCGTCAGGGGCTTCTCCCTCCTGCGTCACTAGAGGACGTCAGGTCCTGGGCCTGGGGAGCAGCTGCACACCACCAGGACCAGCTCACGGGAGACTGTTCCTATAGGAAATGTTTTCTGATTTAGCTGGCATGTATAGGCTAGTAAGATAAAACTACTTGCCAGGAAAGTGGAAGTGTTTGGTGTGAATATGAAAAAGCTGAAGTCCGTTTGCCAAAAATGAGTACCTGCAATGTTTAAAAGCAATCAAGTTTATTAAGTTAAAGAAAAGATTGTTTTTTGTTTTTTTAAAAATTTTATTGGGAAACAGCCATGGTCATTGGTCACACATTGCTTTCATGCTACAATGGCATAGTTGACTCTTTTGAGGAGGGCACAGCTCACAGTGGCCCATGCGGGGATCGAACCGGCAACTTTGATGTTACCAGCACCACACTCTAACCAACTGAGCTAACCGGTCACCCCCAAGAAAATATTTTTTATATATTGTGCTTTGAATTCTGCAAGTCAGTTCGTTGTGTGATGTGACTGAGGAAGTGATGAGAATGGTAAATTTCTTTCAAGTTTATGCCCTTAGTCAGTTAACGGATTCGTTAAGGGGAGTAAAGCAGGGATGGAGATTGGTGGCCAAGTCCTGGAAGTTAATTGAAGACATTTACTGGACTGCTGCAGCAGATAGGGGCTTCCTGGTGTAAGAGTTTCAGAGTGCTAAATTATTCTCCCTCAGTAGCTCACACAATTGTTCTCTGTGACTGCTGTGACCAGAACTCTGAATATACAGGGTGCAAATGAGCTTATCACGGCTCATCGTTTTCAAGAAGTTTCAGAGACTCAACTCGTATTGGTCGTTGAGAAGGTAGCAAATGGGGCCACACTCAAATCCAGTCCTGAACGGCCCCGGGGTCAAAACAGAATCATGTATTTTAGAGAACTGCACTGCCCTTGATTTGAAATTGACTTACAACTTCAGAAGAGATCTGCCAACTTTTTGAGTATAAATTGGGAGCAAGCAGCACGTGCTGCTCAAGAAGACCCAAGAACCAGAAGCTCCGGCGTCCAGCAGGAAAGCTTGGGTGGGCGGGAGGAAGAGGGGAGGGGTCAGTCACCCTCCCTTCATCTTTCTGTTTCATTCGGGTCCTCAGTGGATTGGATGATGCCCACCCACACTGGTGGGGGCGCCACCCCTCACTCAGTCTACTGAGCGCTGACCTCTCCAGAAACACCCTCCCAGACACACCCGGGAGTCCTGTTTTACCAGCTCTGTGGTTAAGCTGACATGTGAAATGAAACTTCACATGCAGCGTGTCCTGACTTACTGTGATAGTCCCCTTCCTGGTTCTTGAGAGTGACGGAGACCTGCGCTGTCCAGCACTGTAGCCACCAGCCAGTGCGGGGCTGACGGCCTTAGGTTTGCTCATTCCTGTGCTTTCCGGCTTCCAGTGTATCGTCATCTCCCTGTGCTCTCTTCCTTGAGGATTTATATTTTAAAAAAGGTTTCTTTAATTATAGAGGAGGATGCGGGGGGGGGGCAATATTAGGTACATGTGTTCAGTTTGCTCTTTATCCAGAGATGTGGATTGGTTTTTATGGTAGTGATTAATTCTTTATTTTTGAATCAATACCAGATGGTATTTTGCCATTGTCATGAATAAAAATGTTTACGTAGCTTGCATTCATGTGATGTTTTAATCATATGCTTCCGTATTTAAAAAAAAAAAAAGAAAAACTCGATACCTCCAATGTGGAGCTTATTATAAATAATGGTTTGGGAACATTTCATTTAAATTGGCCTCCTAAAGGAACAATTACTGGAAGGAAGCATAGAGGGAATGGGGGCTGGAGGGAGAAGTGGATTTATGACCATGGTTCCCAGAACCCATGAGGATATGCCCTTACTAATGATGAGCTTGAGTCAAGAACCGGGGAACGTAATTACACTGTAAACGTTCCTTAAATGGAAGTATGTAGATTGTAATGGAAATCCTTCACAGATGGTAGATTGTTTGGTAGCAAGTAATAGGAGTATAAAAACCGGAATTTTAAACCAGTTAGGGGTCTTATTGTCCTTAAATACATTTGTAGAGGGAGGCCAGTGCTGGTGTGGCAGCCCCTGGTGCCCTAGGGGGCTCTGTGCTCTCCTGTCTAAGGGCGCCTCGCGATCACAAGTTGGCTCCTGCAGCTCCAGTCAGCGTCTCTGTGTTCCAGGAAAGAAGACCGGCCTAGGGGCCCGAGGGAGTCTACTCATGAGTCTACCCCAGCCTCGGAAGGAGCTTTCCCAGAAGGCCTCTCCATCAGCTTTTGCTTCTTGTTGGCCGGAACGTACTCACTTAGCCATCCAGCCCCCAGGCAGCTCTGGGAAATGCTTTTCCTCTGGGCCTGTTGCCACCTGCTGGGATTGATCAGTGGTCTGTCAGTAAGGAAGAGGAAGAACAGGGACTGGGTCAGTCAGTTGCAGGGCCTGCCACCATGAGGTGACCACAAGGATGAAGATAGTGGCAAAACAAGACTTCAGCTGTTGTCACCACCCACGTGGAGAGTGTCATCTGCACTGGGAAGCCACCAGGCCAGGGGAAGGCCGTGTCAGGATGTGCTGTCTGTGTTGCCCTCTTGCTTCTGTTAAGTTTTCCTGTCTGTGGATAAATAACCGAGGAAGCTGAGTTAGGAAGTTCTGCGGCCTCTTCCCCCGGCTGTAACCCAGGGTGTCACACCCGTGTCGAGATTGTGTCTCACAATGATACTGAAAATTTGGAAGACATCTATGGGACTTTTCACAGTGCTATCACAGTAACATAATTATTGTTAACATTTAGTATATTTTAATTCAATCTATTCACTCGTGCTTTTATGATTTTACACTCAACATGTGTCCTCCACCTGTCTCCCTGCGTTTTCTCACAGTTTCAGAACCCTCATCCTCATGGCTACACAATCATCTGTCCAGTGGGTATTTCCTGTCTGCTTGGCAGGGCCACTATTTTCAGACATTTACTTTTATTTCCAATTTCTTTGTTTTATATGAAATAATATAAGGTAATCTTTGCACATACACTTTTTTCTATAATTATATGAAAAGAACTACCAGTGTTTAATTTTGAGATCCGGAAGTATTAATAATTTGGGAACCTTTTCATACCATTTCACACTGACCCTCAATGTACAAGAGGTCCACCGTATTTGTACTCTTGTCAGCATTGATTAATTTTGAATTTGCATTTTTGATAACTTTGACTGTAAACATTTTTTCACCTGTTTATTACTTGTATTTCCTTGTTTGTGAGTTGCCTAATCATGCCCTGTGCTTTTGTACATATCAGTGTTTTATTGCTGTTCTTATTGCTTTGATTTCTATGAACTTTTACCTAGTTTTTTGTGTGATAAAATGTATATACATATAATTGACCATTTTAATCGTTTTTGAATGTACAGTTTGGTAGCATTCCATACATTCACGTTGTTGTGCCACAGTCCCCACTGTCCATCTGCAGAGCTTTCTCCTCTCCCCTAGCTGAACCTCTGTCTCCATTCAACACTCGCTCCCTACCCGCCTCCCCCAGCCCTGGCCCCCACCTTCCTGCTCCTGTCTCTGAATCTGCCGCCTCTGAGTCCCTCGTGTACGTGGAATCACTCAGTATTTGTCTTTCGTGACTGACTTCTTTCAGTTAGCATAACATCGTCAAGGTTCATCCATGTCATAGCGAGTGACAGAATTGTCTTCCTTTTTAGGGCTGGATAATAGTCCATGTCTGCACAGACCACATTTTCTTTACTCTGTGGACCATTTCATACAATAGACAGGAAGCTTTCGTTAGCAACAGATACCTTTCTCTCAGTTGATTTTTTTTTTTGCCTTTATGGGTTATTTTTGAACATCTGTAACTTTAAATTTTTATGTAGTAAACCTATTTTCCTTTGAGGTCTATATTTAGTCTTCATCCGTCTGGGATTTATTTGGAATATCACTTGACACTGAACTTAAACCCCGCTGACTGACCTCTCTGAGGCACCTTGTTTCAGGCAGGTCTCTTGCCTGTAGGATGTGACTTAATTTTGTTTCGTGGACTTAGCTGACACTTTTTCTTTTTAGTGGGTGAGTTCTTCACTTGTATTTGCTAATAACTCCCTTTCATTGGACTCATTCCACGTGTCAGGTGCTATACTGTAAGCACTTAGGCTCCTCCCATCCTTCAGAATACGCACTGAGAGAGGAAATCTCTTTCCAAAGTTCGTCAGATTGAATGCTGGGATTTGACCCGGCTGAGTGGACTTCAGGACTCGTTTGACCCACGCGGGTACGGCATGCTGCTGTGCAACAGATAACGTGTGGTCTTGGCTCCGCTGTTTTACTTTGTATGCTTTTTGTTTTTAATGTGTTTTATTTATGTGTCAATTTTTTAAAACTCAGGCTTGGTTTTCTCTTTGCTTTGTATTGGGTGTGTGTTCTTTCTAATATATATATGTTTTTTACATATTTTAATGTACCTAGAATTTTATGTATTTACCCATTATTTGTTTAGTGGTGAATAACTACTTCCTGCTGTGATTAGTGACCAAGGTGGCACATTTCTACATTTTCTTATCTCCTCTTTCTTTCCTCTACCATCTGCTTTTCTTTTTTTTTTAGCTGAGCCATCCTGCTACCTATTGACAGCTTAGCGGCAGCTCAGCTCGGGCCGGGCATCGAATCGCTGTTGCTCAGAGCTCACACTCTTGAGCGAGCTCTTAACCAACTGAGCCACTCGGCCGGCCTCTACCATCTACTTTTGACTGATTATGTTACTGAGCTTATTCTAATATTAACCTTTATTATTTTATGCATACTAATGCCTCTGATACTTTATCAGTTTAGAACAGTATCTTTTGATTCCATCATAAGAGGATGTCAGTGTGTTTATATTCTCCCCTTTCTTTCTACATCTCTCAGCTTGATACTATTTCTACTGTTTTAATTTATAACATTTACATTCTGTTCTATAACGAGGATTCCCAGAAAAGAAAAATTTTTTGTGTTACATCTTAAATGGCTTAATTGCTCATTGTAAGTCTATGGCTTCACTATCTGCCTTCTTATTTGGCTAAAGTTTATCTTCTAATAGTTAATTCTTGCAGGGATCATGGGAACCAAATTTTCCAAGTTCTTACATGTTTAAAGGTATTTGTTTTTGCAACGTACTCGATTGGCAGTGTGGTCAGAAGTAGAACTCTCGGGTCATAGCTCCTTGCTGTAGAGACTCTGTAAGTCTGGCCCCGTGTGTCCCAGGGTTAATCGGAGCTGTGCTGGTGGCTGATGCAGCCTGTATTTTTCCCGCCTTCTGTGCCAGCTGCCATGACAAGATGCCACAGGCTGGGTGGCTGAACCAGCAGACATTTGTTTTCTCTCAGTTCTGGAGGCTTCAGGGCCAGGGTCAGGGTGCCCTCAGGGTCGGTTTCTGGTGAGGTCTCTCTTCCTGGCTTGCAGGCAGCCAACTTGTCCTTGTGTCCTCGTGTGGCGTTGACTCTTAGGTTGCAGAGAGGGCTCTCTGGTGTCTGTCTTTCCTGTAAAGACATTAATTACTTATTGATTAGGGCCCCCCATCCTTATGACCTCATTTAACGTTAATTACCTTCCTAGAGGCTCCATCTCCAAATACAGTCACACTTAGGTTTGGGGGTTCAACATGCGAATTTTGGGGGACATAGCTCGGTCCATAACAAAGGGTAATGTGGACTTTTTTTTTGCAAAAGGCCCAGAGAATTTTTATTTATTTATTTATTTATTTTTTTCTTTTGCAGCTTTAAATATGTGATGTGTATCCATACTTATTGACATGGAAAAATTTACAACATATTGCTGACTGACAAAAAGCAGGTTTATTTATTCTTTTTATCCTTCTGTAATCCTTTCATTTCCTCCTATTTGATAATGGTTATTATCATAAACTAGATACTTGAATTTTTTTGAGATGTCTTTGGTCATGATTTCATCTGCTTTATTTTTATGTTTTTCTGGTTATGAGTTTCTTTGTCTGCCATTGGTTTTTCCCATTATTTTTCCTCTTCTCTTTTTCTCTCAGTTTTTTTTACGTGGTCTTTGGCCGGTTTCTTTGTGTTCTTTCCTCATCTTTGAATGAGGGAAATTCTTCCTGGACTAGGCATGTGTGTGAGTTTAGGCGGTGTGGGGGGGTGTCTGGGTGAAGCTGCTTCTGCCCTGGAGTTCTCTGGAATTTTCTGCCTTGCGGCTGATGGCAAAGACGTCATGTCCGGCTCTAATGGCAGGCAGGGCTTGGGGAGGCTTCTGCCCCAGCTCTGCTCAAACTCATCGTCTCACTGCAGCCAGGGCCGGCACCTTCCCCCCTCCTCGGAGAGCTCCGTACTGTCCTGAGGCCTGACGTCACCTATGTTCTCTTGGGGCCTCGATTCGTCATGGTTGGGTTTTTATTGCCCTTGGCAACCTACTGCAGGCCTGTTCAGTTTTGGGGTGTTCAGGTGTTATGGCTTCTAAGGCAGAGTTTCCTTTTCTGTAACTCATTCCTGTTTTGGGGTGCTTACTGAGAAGTGTTGAGGGAAGCCTTTACTCTGCCACATTAAAGCTTCTGAGACCCACAGCCAGGTTTCTTTAATTAATCACTCTGGGTCTACTCTGTCAAATTAGAGTCACACGGCAGCCTAATTAGCATGCTTTAGGCTAACTTTTTTATGGTTCTGAGGTAATTGCACGAAATTTGGGCGAACATTAAATAAAGTGACTTTTTCTTACAGACAGAACCCCCACTGAATACACCAGAAAATAGAGAGTATCTTGCAGAAATTATGTTTGAATCGTTTAATGTACCCGGACTCTACATTGCAGTTCAGGTGAGACCAAAGTTGTTTTCATGATCCCCGAAGGACCTTACTGTTTAATAGCAGAAGAAATGATGATTCCAAAGACTCTTTGTCGTCAGGTTGTGCTGTGTGCGCTTCCTTTTCCACTTCTCAGAACACACACACACACAGACATACCCGGGCATCTCACACTGCGGTTCCCACCCTCAGTGCTATGAGTGGGTCAGCTCTTCATGGTGGGGGCTGTCCTGTGCATTATAGGATGTTTTGCAGCATCTCTGGCCTCTAACCACTAGAGAAAGCACCACCACTAGCCACCCCACCAAGCATGACAATAAAAAATGGGGTCAGACGTTTCCCAATGTCCTCTGGGGGGCAAAATTGCCCCTGGGTGAGAACCAGCATAGACTATCCGGGTGTGAGGCCTAGTGGTCTGTCTTTAAAAGATCCCACAAGTGAGCTTACTGCAACCCATCCATGGACCCACACTGGGAACCAATATATTTATAAATGACAATCTTATGATTCCATAATAAAACCCCTGTCTCACTGGCGTTTCTTTTTTAAGCAAATGATTTATTTTACTGAAAACTTGGCTCCTCCAGTTTACGTATACAAAATTTGCACGTTAGTTGTCCAATTTGGAAATTGAATTTTGGGAGGAAAGATGAAAGATAATATAGAGGGAAGAGTTACTCAGACTTATTAAGTAAAAAAGACCGTATTGATGGAACCTGAGAATAAGTATGCAAACTACCTCAGAACACTGTCCTCCTGTGCTCATGATTTCGCATCTTCTGTCCAGGCAGTGCTGGCCTTGGCAGCCTCGTGGACATCTCGGCAAGTCGGCGAGCGCACGTTAACAGGGATCGTCATTGACAGCGGGGATGGGGTCAC